CCGCCCACAGGATGGGTATGGGGTGCATAATATACATATTAAACTAACAAGACCCAAAGAATTTCTCAGGAATTGCAATGTCCATGATACTATGACTTCGATTTTCATGTTTAACTTTCCTTGCTTTTTCAATGCTGTCATCTGTGTTTGACGATGAACAGCCAAAGCGTTCATCATTTTTAAGTGACGTTTGTGTAGCTTTGAATCGAAATTTTTTTTCAAAATACTGTGTCCGACCCATTACTTTTTTTCCCAAATGCTTGCTTGAACATTTTGTGCGCTTTACTTGCAGTTTTACCGAGCCTGAAACAGATTCTTATACACGTTGTTTGTCGTTTAAAAGATTCTATTCTGTTTCGCAAGAAAGTCGGAAGAATGTATTGACATGACCAAAAAAGTGCCCATTTAACCTCAATGGAATGACCGAATGCACTTAAAACTCGCCACGGTACTTGACTAATGAGTTACTGCATAGTTATTATCTACGATGTTACCTTGTTTCACTCAAAGTGCACAAAAGTTAGTATCCATGAACTTTTTCAAAGTACCTCGTACAAGTGTGTCAAACCACTATTCTCTCATACATTCCCTTCTTTATGTCTCCATGGATAAGGTTCTTTGTATTCGCAGATGCCTGACTGCACCGTCCATCCGGTATTAAAACTTGCGATTTTGGCATAAATAAGAACGCTCGTCTTGCCAATAAGACAAGCAAAAAATTGCTTATGAAATAATTTTGCAAAATTCATTCCGAACCTAACGAGAAACATTATGTAATTGTGTTTGTTCATTATTAAATTGTAAATGAAAAAAAAAATTATCTTCAAACGTTTTAGAGAAAATTTAGAGTGCTTAATTTTAAATAAGTTTTTGTTAATTGACCAATTTTACCTATTTGGCACGACATACATACTATATATATATATATATATATATATATATATATATATATATATTTTATTTTTATTATCACACTGGCCGATTCCCACCAAGGCAGGGTGGCCCGAAAAAGAAAAACTTTCACCATCATTCACTTCATCACTGTCTTGCCAGAAGGGTGCTTTACACTACAGTTTTTAAACTGCAACATTAACACCCCTCCTTCAGAGTGCAGGCACTGTACTTCCCATCTCCAGGACTCAAGTCCGGCCTGCCGGTTTCCCTGAACCCCTTCATAAATGTTACTTTGCTCACACTCCAACAGCACGTCAAGTATTAAAAACCATTTGTCTCCATTCACTCCTATCAAACACGCTCACGCATGCCTGCTGGAAGTCCATGCCCCTCGCACACAAAACCTCCTTTACCCCCTCCTTTACCCCCTCCCTCCCTGGCACAAAGATCGTATATACAATACATAAGGTTGGAGGGATACATAACAAGCATATATTGCTGTGTTCATAAAAAGTTACATTACAAAAATTCTCATCCAGCCACATGCCACTTTTGTGCACTGTCAAGAGTTACGTCTTGCTGTTACTGCAGTAACAGGTACGCTGAGGGCATAGATTCTGTGATTGAGTGCAGCTCCGAGAGTCCCACACAGTTTTCTCACACTCCCTTCCTTCATGTGGGGAATGTGAACCCTCCAAGGTTTACAGAAAGTACAGTAGATTATTACATGAACATTTGATAGACTGCCCAAAGCCATGTCAGACAACATGGATGAATTTCACAAAAAAATATTACTGTGAGGAACTTTGTAGCAACGTAACGAACCTGTGTTACTCATTATCACCTCCTCCAAAATGCTCTCGAAATATGTAATGGTATTTTGGAGGAGGTGATAATGAGTAACACAGGTTCGTTACGTTGCTACAAAGTTCCTCACAGTAATATTTTTTTTTGTGAAATTCATCCATGTTGTCTGACATGGCTTTGGGCAGTCTATCAAATGTTCATGTAATAATCTACTGTACTTTCTGTAAACCTTGGAGGGTTCACATTCCCCACATGAAGGAAGGGAGTGTGAGAAAACTGTGTGGGACTCTCGGAGCTGCACTCAATCACAGAATCTATGCCCTCAGCGTACCTGTTACTGCAGTAACAGCAAGACGTAACTCCTGACAGTGCACAAAAGTGGCATGTGGCTGGATGAGAATTTTTGTAATGTAACTTTTTATGAACACAGCAATATATATGCTTGTTTTAGTGCATATTTCGATGATTTAGATCGTCTCCTACGCTTTTCTGGCAGACCTCATTTTTTCACTAAACTGCATAGTTTTTCACTTTTTAATCAGAACTGCTGCTGCAACTGAATTTTATGGTAGAAGTAAGCTTTATTATACAACTTTTGAGAAGTAGTTTGTCAAAACATATTTTCAATGAAAATTCTCAATTGTTTCCAAAAAAGCTTGAAAAAGTTTTGAATCGTCCAAATATGGCAAAAAAATATGATATTTTTTTATTATTTTTCAACATTTATCATTATTTTACATATTTTTAAAAGAACCTTACAAAAAGTTGATTAAAATAAATAATAATATTAAATATTTTATATTAAATATGTGTTTACATCTAGGGGTACATCATGCCGGGACGCATCATGCCGGGACGCATCATGCCGGGACGCATGCCGGGGTACATCATGCCGGGGTACATCATGCCGGGGTACATCATGCCGGGACGCATCATGCCGGGACGCATCATGCCGGGACGCATGCCGGGGTACATCATGCCGGGGTACATCATGCTGGGGTACATCATGCCGGGACGCATCATGCCGGGGTACATCATGCCGGGGTACATCATGCCGGGACGCATCATGCCGGGGTGCATCATGCCGGGGTGCATCATGCCGGGGTACATCATGCCGGGGTACATCATGCCGGGACGCATCATGCCGGGGTGCATCATGCCGGGGTACATCATGCCGGGGTGCATCATGCCGGGGTACATCATGCCGGGGTACATCATGCCGGGGTGCATCATGCCGGGGTACATCATGCCGGGGTACATCATGCCGGGGTACATCATGCCGGGACGCATCATGCCGGGACGCATCATGCCGGGACGCATGCCGGGGTACATCATGCCGGGGTACATCATGCCGGGGTACATCATGCCGGGACGCATCATGCCGGGACGCATCATGCCGGGACGCATGCCGGGGTACATCATGCCGGGGTACATCATGCCGGGGTACATCATGCCGGGACGCATCATGCCGGGGTACATCCGGTGCCGGGGTACATCATGCCGGGATCGCATCATGCCGGGGTGCATCATCCGGGGTGCATCATGCCGGGGTAGCATCATGCCGGGGTACATCATGCCGGGGACGCATCATGCCGGGGTGCATCATGCCGGGGTACATCATGCCGGGGTGCATCATGCCGGGGTACCATCATGCCGGGGTACATCATGCCGGGGTGCATCATGCCGGGAGGTACATCATGCCGGGGTCATCATGCCGGGGTACATCATGCCGGGACGCATCAGCCGGGGTGCATCATGCCGGGTACATCATGCCGGAGTACCATGCCGGGGTGCATCATGCCAGGGTGCATCATGCCGGGGTGCAGCATGCCGGGGTACATCATGCCGGGGTACATCATGGTCCGGGACATCATGCCGGGGTACATCATGCCGGGGTACATCATGCCGGGGTGCATCATGCCGGGGTGCATCATGCCGGGGTGCATCATGCCGGGGTGCATCATGCCGGGGTACATCATGCCGGGGTGCATCATGCCGGGGTGCATTATTCCGGGGTGCATCATGCCGGGGTGCATCATGCCGGGGTACATCATGCCGGGGTGCATCATGCCGGGGTGCATCATGCCGGGGTGCATCATGCCGGGGTACATCATGCCGGGGCGCGGGGCATTTGCCGGGGCGCATCATGCCGGGGTACATCATGCCGGGGCGCATCATGCCGGGGCGCATCATGCCGGGGTACATCATGCCGGGGCTCATCATGCCGGGGTACATCATGCCGGGGCGCATGCCGGGGTGCATCATGCCGGGGTACATCATGCCGGGGCGCATGCCGGGGTGCATCATGCCGGGGTACATCATGCCGGGGCGCATGCCGGGGTACATCATGCCGGGGTACATCATGCCGGGGCGCATGCCGGGATGCATCATGCCGGGGTACATCATGCCGGGACGCATGCCGGGGTGCATCATGCCGGGGTACATCATGCCGGGGCGCATGCCGGGGTACATCATGCCGGGGTACATCATGCCGGGGTACATCATGCCGGGGTGCATGCCGGGGTGCATCATGCCGGGGTGCATCATGCCGGGGTGCATCATGCCGGGGCTCATCATGCCGCGGCTCATCATGCTGGGGCGCATCATGCTGGGGTACAGCATGCCAGGGTGCATCATGCTGGGGAGCATTATGCAGGGCTCATCATGCTGGGGCGCATCATGCCAGGGTGCATCATGACGGGACGCATGCCGGGGCTCATCATGCTGGGGCGCATCATACCGGGGTACATCAGGCCGGGACGCATGCCGGGGCTCATCATGCCAGGGCTCATCATGCTGGGGTGCATCATGCCAGGGTGCATCATGCTGGGGCTCATCATGCCGGGGCTCATCATGCCGGGGTGCATCATGCCAGGGTGCATCATGCTGGGGCTCATCATGCCGGGGCTCATCATGCCGGTGTGCATCATGCCGGTGTGCATCATTCCGGGGTACATCATGCCGGGGCTCATCATGCCGGGGCTCATCATGCCGGGGCTCATCATGCCGGGGCTCATCATGTCGGGGCTCATCATGCCGGGGCTCATCATGCCGGGGTGCATCATGCCGGGGCGCATCATGCTGGGACGCATGCCGGGGTGCATCATTCCAGGGTGCATCATGCCGGGGCTCATCATGCCGGGGCTCATCATGCCGGGGTGCTTCGTTGTACTTTATATACAACCTTAATATAAAATAATGTGTTGTTTGTGGAAACTGATGTGAATGAAATAGACAAAACATACAAAATTATTTGTATTTTCAGTTTTTTATGTTTGATACACTCTTGTGTACTCCAGGTGAACTGTTCTCTCCTGCGGTGAAGGAAGCATCAGCCAGCTTGGTCACCTTAGTCAACTGGACCACTTCATTCCTCGTTACTCTCACCTTCCTCCCACTCCAGGTACTTTCTTTTCTCGTTACACTAGCTGCAATGAATTATTTTTTTTATTCCTAATAAAACAAGTTACAATCTTGCATTTACCCTTTGTGCCCTCAATAAATTTTGGTTTAGATGCATCTGACTGTGTGTGTAGGGGGAATATAAAACTGTGTGTAAATGGTTATAATAGCTGTTATCAAATTAAAGATACAAACTTATCATTGTATCCTTACAATAATCTTTACGTAAATTAACACCAAAATCTTTATTATATTAATAAAATAAATCATGTTATAATTCATAGTTAAGGGTTACAGTGGACCCTTGAATTTTGTCCCCCTTGAATATCGTGAATTTTGGAAATCGGCGACTTGTTTTGTCAAAATATTAGCTTGATTTTTCGTGATTTGGCTTAGAAATCGGTAGTCGTATGAAACGCTCTCTGGTAATGTACATTGCTCCTGCTCATCCTCCAGACTTGGAACAGCAAATGGTTAAGAAGTTTAATTTCATCACAGTAAAGTTCTTGCCTAATACCACTCCTCTCCTCCAGCCCATGGACCAGCAGATCATTTCAAACCTCAAAAACTCTACACCAAAGCAATGTTTCAAAGGTGTTTTAACATAGCCTCAGACTCTGAATTGACCCTAAGAGAGTTCTGGAAAGATCACTTCAATATCCTCCACTGCATAAACCTTATAGGTAAGGCTTGGCATGGAGTGAATTCCAGGATGACGAATTCTGCTTGGAGAAAATTGTGGCCAGAATGTGTCCTCGACAAAGATTCTGAAGGGTTTGAGGCTGACCCTGACAACTTTATGCCAGTTGTGGAATCTAGTGTGGCATTGGGGAAGTCATTGAGGTTGGAGGGTAGTGGCGAGGATGTGGAAGAGTTGGTGATGACC